TGACCGATTTGCACTTATGATTAAACCTCACTACAGCTCTGTGAGGTAAGAAGCCCAGACTGAAGACAAAGGGGCCCACCCTTTCACCAAAAGCAGAGAGGAAAGGGCAACGTGAGAGATGCTAAGGAGGCAGATGCAACAGGTTGTGTGGTAGAGGGGACAACCAACCCATGGAAAGGGGACACCCCCATGGAAGGACACCTCTGTAGAAGGGGGACACCCCCGTGGAAGGGGGGCAGCCCCGTGGAAGGGGGACAACCCCATGGAAGGGGGACAGCCCCGTGGAAGGGGGACAACCCCGTGGAAGGGAGACAGCCCTCATGGAAGGGGCACAGCCCCGTGGCAGGGGCACAGCCCCGTGGAAGGAAGACAGCCCTCATGGAAGGGGCACAGCCCCGTGGAAGTGCACTGGCTTCTCTTCAGCACCCTGCCCGCCTTTCATTAACTGCCTCTGTGGGGCCTGTTTGGGTGTCTGGCTTTCTTCCCTCCCGTGTTCTTCACTTTTTACTTCACTCACTTTGTCACTGGGACACCACACAGACTTTAGCTGCTGGTTCGCACATACCACGGTGGAAGCAAAGGAAGGCTGAGCAAGAGTGCCCCGAGTGTGCAGCAGGCAGGCGCAGAAGAAACCTCATCTCCGGCTGGATGCCACGAAAGGCCCCCAGCAGTGCCCGGTCAGGACCACAGAGACGCAGAACTCGGGCTCGCCGCAGCTCACGTGCTTTTCAGGCCACTACTAAAAATTAGTTACTTAGACAAAAACACTGATTTCCATGTTGTATTTACAGGATAAAAATTCAAAAGCCCGTGTAACAATATATACATCATGTTTTTTTCTTCTATATGTATCTACAAAAACATACATCATGGTTTCATGCATGTATCTGTTGTTTCTCGAAGCTGTTAGTCGGACTAGCAGATGCTAATTCTCTTCCTATTACCATCTGGTTCCTACTCCCAGGACCACATGCCCACTCTCTCCCCCACTTTTCTCTTGTTTCTGCAACAGCTCAGAGCCCGGACAGGCCTCTCCAGTCCTAAGGAGGGACAGGAAGGGTCCTTCTTCTGTTCCACAGGGCGGGTCAGAGGCAGGAGCCCCGCGGTGCACCTCCGCCAGTCTTAAGGGACCCAGAGCGTCTACTTAGGACAAAAGTAGCGGCACTGATGACTCACACCGCGTCTTCAGAATGAAAGTGGAAAGTGGTGGTAAAGAAAATGTATTTCGCTAATTTGAAATCTGTAAATGAAATGGATTAAATAGCCAAATATAAACAATACAGAAAAGGAAACAAAGGTGAATAGTTTTCTAGTTTTTAAAATATATAAACAACGAAAAATTGTAAAAGGAAAACAGACAAGTTTAACCTTTCAGACAAGATGGAAGTGGGATGGCTCCAGGTTTTCTTTTCAAAGCCACGAGGGCATCCTGTGTCACTTAAAACGGTTCCCCAACCCGAGCAATTCACCCAATGGTGGGGCCAATGGTGGGGCCAATGGTGGGCAAGTTCAAAGCAATTGCAAATTGCCTTCATAAAAGCTGTGGGGCCACTACGATTCCGGGTAAAATGCAAACTGTCTCAGTCAGCAAGAACCAAGCCAAACCTCACGAGTCATTCATGCATTCTTGCAATCTTTCCCCAACTAAACTAAGCTCATTTAAACAGGCCACCTTATTATCTCAAATGAAACAGAGCTATTTCCTTCTATAACCTCTTTTCCCAGGCTGGCCACTTTTTTCCCTTTTCTCTTAGAGTGACACATTAAGAACTCCAGTCAATAGTGTCCTTCTGAGTTTCTTCTTAAGTGAGTTGGGAGTATTGTCTCCTAAAAGTCTTTCCTGTGATTCCTATAAGATGGGAAAAGACTGTGCTCACTGAATGTTTCCAGTCATCATAAAACACCAATACCAAAAAATGCTCACGTTTCACTAAATGTGATGGCTTCGTCCTGGGCAGAGCTCAGTGAGACACTCCATCCACTGAAACGGAAACATGTCTCTCCTTGCAGTGGCCCAGGCTGAGATCACAAACGGGGCCCTTGGCCCTGCGGAAGGTTATGTCATTCCCGAGGAGTCGGTAATGCTGCCATCAGCGTAATGCTGCTGCGGATTAAGTTCAGGCGCGCTGCTGCTGCTGCTGCGCCAAACGCAGAGCATTCGATACAGCCTGGCAGGCAGACCAGCGTGCACGCTGACAGCTTGAGCCAGTACGTGGAGCTAACTTCTCCACCATCCCCTCTCTTACAAGGGGAAACACATTTTCTTTTCTTGGTCAAAACTGAGCGAGGATTCCTCAGGTACCGCCTGCCGCCTCGCCTTGCCAACACCCTGCGCTATTCTTCAGAGACGTATGTACAGGAGCATGCCTGCCAGTGCTCTCCGGGGTTGCCAGGGCACCACTCCGCGCCTCTGCTTCCTCCTTCTCCGGGCACTCATGCTCGCTTCTCTCCAGACATCTGACACCACCTTCTCTAAGTCTAAAGGACTCCTTAGACCTGCTAAATAGCAAGGGGTGCTCCAGTTTAAAAAGGGAAGAAATCCTCTCTCAAACCTCCCTCTCCATCAGTTGTAGGGCCTTTCTTTCCTCCCCTTCACAGCTTAACTTCTTCACTGAGCTGCTGCTGCCATCCCCTCCCCTCCCACTGGCACGGGCCCCCACCTTCCTGAACCTGGCCTCAGGGTCCCGTGCCAGTGAAACAGCTCTCAGGCAGGTGCCAGGCTTGACCTCCCACACCGGGAGCAGAAAGGACCTGTTTTTTAAGGGGGGTGGCTATAAATAAAGAGGTGATGCCTCCACCCCCATCCTGGGATTTCTAAGAGATGGAGGTCTGACCCCTCCTGGGAACCGCCTCCCCCACTCCCACTCTTCTCCTGAGCTGGGCAGGTGACCAAGGAAGGGTGCTTGGGGTCCTTAAATTCTTGGCTTAGAGGGGAGTGCTGTCATGGGCGGGGTGATGAAGAGACCTCCTCACAGAAGGGGGAAGTGCCCTCTCTTCCCCAATTGGAGAAGCAGGGGGCCTGTTATTTGCTCTGTGCCTACCAGACTGGGGAGAGGAAACGGCTGAGAGACGGCAGGGCAGAGAGAAGCCTTACTCCCTCACTGCTCGGTGCACAAAACACAGATTCAGGTGACTAGTAGGGCATCTCACCAGTACCCACAAAAAAGGGCAGGGGGATCTCAGCACCAGTTTATTAGAGGCACTTACCCATGCCTCCCCTCACCGTGCCCCCAACATCCGAGACAGGGCAGGAGCCCAGGAGAAGGACAGGGAGGAGGGGTCCCAGAGGGAGACCGCCCTTCCTTCCCACACAGGTGACACACCACACGCCTGGCAAGTGGCAATCTCAGGGAAAGCTTTAAATCACAGTCTGTTTTTCTCATAATGGTATTCCCCAATATACCCAAGTGAGTGGCATGTGGGAGGCTTAATGATTATTTGTTGGATAAATAATTTGTTGTCTCAATAGCTTCATCTTTATCCTCACCCTCCTTGTCCTTTTTTTGCCTCATTTCATTCATTCACTCAATAATTCACTCCTCCATAAGTGTTTGTTGAAAGTTGATACTATACAATGTAATTATGGAAAGGTGATTAAGTCATGTCCCCATGCCCTCAGGAAAGTTACCAGAGAAAATAAGAAAAGTAGAAACTTGCGCCCACGGCAAGGAACGATGAGAAAGTAGCATGGCAGCAGTACCAAGCACCAGAGACATTAACCCGAAAATCCACACTGCTCCCTGAGGAGTACGCCTGGACAGCTCGCTTTTCCTGATCGGCCTGGATATGGATGCTCATGCCTGCCTTTCCCATGGCTGCTGGCCCTTTACCCCTCCTGCTAAAATGCATTTACCCTCGGTGTGCCAAGGTGTGTGGTTTACACACCGTGTGCGACATCCTGGAGAAAGCAGGACAATCCATCGGCCTTGGGTCTGGGGTGGGCCAAGGGCATTTCAATGCCCCGGCTGAGGCCCCCGAGAAAGGACAAGGTGCCCGTGGCCTTTCATGGAACACCGCCATGCGCGATCCAGCACAGCGAACACGCCGTGGGTGTGGGGCGAAGGTAATGCTGACTATGTTCATGTCCTCCCAAGAGCACCGAGGGCATCTTTCCCACGGGGAGATGGCCGTGCATGGGGAGAACTGAGCCACCTCTGCCAGGAGTCACGTGTGATTGACAGGTGGGTTAACGGCAGACTCTCAGTCAGAATTAATTTGCAACTGGAGCCAGGCATTTGCAGAAAGCGCATCACTCTACATGATTTGGTGTTTGCTTACAGTCTTCAGCTTACAGTCCTTCAGCAACCGTTACTGCTTCCCACATATTCTTGACAGGCACTTTAATGGTAATTTTTCACCTTTGTTAGAATAATGCATGCTCAGTATAAAAAATCTAGAAAATACAGCAAAGTTGATAGCAGGAAAAAATCTCATGCATATTCTTACCACCACTGTTAATATTCCTGGTGTATTTCCTGTTTGATTTAATAGCTACTTGGAATTAATAAGCTTCATAAGCCAACTCTGATAAAAATCACCAATAAATTAGGATATAAACTGCCATCTGTAATCTCCTTCAATTACGAGGAGGCTGTATCTTTATGGCTGTAAAACAAACAATAGATTCAGTTTAAGAAGCTGGAGTCGGTGGAGGGAAAACTGGCTGCACGTGTTGTTTAACACACACTTGCAGGCCGGCACTCTGCTCTCCTTGCCTGTCCAGATGCCCAGCGGTTGGGACCCAGCTTGTCCGAGCTCTCGGGTACCTCTCCCTTTAGATACAAACCCCTTTAAACACAAATTTCTTTTGATTTAAGTTTAGGAAGGGTAATCTCGCTGGACTCTGGGAGGCACGAAGGAACACGACTGGTGGTATTTTCTGGACAGGAATACAACTGCCATTATTTACCAAGATATTGAACACGGACTTTATTTTCATCTTTGTCCTCCCTAATAGACATGCTGTTCAAGGACGTTGAAAATAAAAAGTATCGGCTTACCTGATCAAGAAATCGTGAAGTCCAACGTCAAAATACCTGTTCAAGGAGACACAGACAAGCGTATCAGTAGAAGGTATCTACGGAAATGGTGGACTTGACAACGAAAATCTGTAACTGACATTCAGAGCATGATGAACAAGTGGATTACTCTACGATGGCTGCTCTCAAAGGGCGGCCTCGGGAGCAGCCGCAGCAGCGTTACCTGGGGTCCACTGGAAATGCAAATTCCCAGGCCCGGCCTCAGACGCACGGAGTCTGAAATCCTGGGGATTTCTTGCTCGAGCAATGAGATTGGGCAGGACCCGCAGGTGGTTCAGATGCAGAACCACTGCTCCATGATGGCAAAGCTGTTTCGGCCAGTCCACGCTCCCTCTAGAAACTAAGGCCCTAAGGGTAGCTTGGCCAGGTACCCTCCATTTACCAACAGGTGAGCCCTTTTGTGACACTCATTGTCTTAGAGGTTCATTTACTCAAAAATAAATGAAATGTATTTTAAAAGCATAAAACTGCACTGGCCAAAGGGAAGAACAGGGTAGGGAAGGGTCAACTCTGGTCCTCCCCACTCCTCCCAAAGTCCCTGCAGCTTTTCCCCCTGGAGAGCAACCTCATCCCCACCTGGGTCTGCCCGAGGCGGGAGGGGGCAGAGCAGCTCCACGTCCTCACTGGTGTGTCTACCACTGAGCGGGGGCCTCACACCAGGCATCCAGTAAGCCTTGGGGGCGTGCTTCCGGCCACAGCCTTCCCTGGACACCACTAAATTTACTGAGTCCACATAAAGCGCACTGCCCTGGCTTCCCTGGTTAGCACGCTTGTTCCCCCTGCACCTCCAACCACACAGTCCTTCCCTCCCTTTGGGTCCGGCCCCAAGCAAGGAGACTGCATGGCCAGCTTCAGGACACTGCTGTCCATTGGCTATATCACTGCTTCAAACCCCTGGATGGTGGTGGTTGTGCCCCCCACCATCAGACTGGCCTCCTGGGTTAGTGATCTGCCTGCACAAGGCCCGAATTAATTCTGTCTCTACAGACGACGAGCAATGGACACAGAAACTCACCTGGAGTGGGGGCCGACTGCCCAGGCCCTGGCTCTCCCTAGCCTCCAGCTCCACCCCTACCCACGTCCCAGGAGCACCCAGCACCTCAGCTCACCGTCTGACATATAGCAGGTGATGACTGACATTAAAACACAATTCCTTGTGGGGTCTCTTTAAATGGCAATGTTCTTTTATGACTCAAACATCTATTTGTAGGTCACGGTTACGGGGTAGGTGAGAATAGAGAAACGACGCCAGACAGTACCATTTGAAACATCTGTAAACATCCGGTTCGGCGGCATTAGGTGCATTTACACCATGGTGCAACCACCGCCACCGCCGGCCTCCAGAGCCTTTTCCTCTTCCCCAGCGGGGACTCGGGCCTCCTCTCCACCAGGGTAAAGACGGTTTCAGCTCCTTCCGAAAGGCTCAAGGGTGGGGCCTCTCCTGTGGGGCTGTGTCTTTCATTTCAAAACATGAGCAAACCAATGAAGTTTCTAGAAATCTGTTCCCATTAGTTAGAAACAGGTAGTTGGAAAAGGTGTCTTCGGGTGATAGACTGGGAATGGAATAAGCCCTTTTCTCTTTCTTTCTCTCTTTTTCTTTTTCTTTTTCTCTTTCTTTCTTTCTACATTAAGATCTCTTTTAACCCTCACAATAAACCCTGCAAAATAGCTCCCTGTTTTACAAAGCCACCTGTCCTAATCCCCAGCCACATGACTAGTAAACTAATGAGTCAGGATCCAGCTGAGCGTACCAAACGCCCAAGTCTGTGCTTGTTCCCTTCACGCATCCAGCTACTGACTCACTTAACCAACATTTACCACATGCCTACGATGTGCCAGATAGTGGGAAGTCGGCAGTGCACGGCACATAACCCCTAGCAAAGGGATGGCAATGCCAACAGTAATCTCGGTACAGTATGGTCAATACCAAACGTTTTCTCCCTTCATGGATGGCAAACTCCTTGGGGGCACCAAGCCGATTCTCAGGAAGTATCTGTTGAGTGGGTCACCGTGTGAGTGACATGCTGTCATAGCACACTTCTCACGGTGCCTGCACACTGAAGATGCTCAAAGTTGTTACTTAACACATAAACTATTACATGTAAATACATGAGATAAATACCCACAGATGGAAATTCGGCTTCTCTTTGGAAATAACATACCTGTCAAACCGCAGCACAACTATCCTATCACTTTCTAAGAGAATGATCCCTCACGGCTCCCGGCCCACGAGGTAAACCAGGATGTCCTTGTGAGGACACAAGCGATCCTGTGCGTGTCACTCTGGGTCCTTCCAGAAATCGAAAACCAGAAACCTTGTTTATGTGTGTGTGACGTGAAAGTTTTGTTGTCTGAACACCTATTGACAGCAGCAATGCAGAGTGGCTTTCAGCTTGACAGACGTATAAAAAGGAACTTGCTCACCCATGTGGCAAGGCCCCACCGAAAAAGCCGGTGAACTTCCCGTGAAGCGATGAGTGTGAGCCTAGTTACAGGGTGCTAGAGGAGGCTGAGCCATCAGAGAGAAAACTGGAATGGATGGCCGTAAAGACTCACTTTTGGGAAGCATCCCTCAGAGTGAATTCTAACTCGCAAAGCAGCCGTTCTCGTCTGACAACCATCAGCAAGCTAGTGGACGTGCCTGGGCTGATGCAGCCCTGAGATTTCTTTACCACAATGCTGACCACTGTTCCTGCGAAAGCCTCCCCGGCATCAAAATTAGGCTCCTGGCGCCTGACAAAATGGGGCTGCACATGTGTTTATTCACAGAGCACAGAGATTACATGTCCTCAAGTTTAGCGCGTCCGTGACAAGGGAGGGGTCTGGCCCACACAGCATGTTCGTGGCAGAACTCAGGCCGGAGCCCACAGCAGGTTCCAGGATTTGTTCTGCTCTTCCAGGCTGCCTGCCTTTCGGGGTCCTGGTCCTCCTCCCCCCACCCCCGGGCTGATCTTGGCTCTCTAGGTTACGAAAGGCAATGAACGAGGGCTGGAAGTTGCATAAGCCACACAACCAGTGAGTTACGTTTTCAAACCACAGTTGTGAGGCTGGGCAGAGTTTACATGAAGTATCACACTCAGATCTCAGGTTTTCTTCTCCAGGCAATTCACCCATCAGTGGGCTGCCACACTCTCACACGCCTGCCTAGGGAGTCTGAAAGCTGGCTTAGAGAGCTGGAAGTAAAAACCAAGTCAGGTCACTGAGAATAAAGCATGCACCTAGACTCAGGAGGCCCTCATTCGTGCCGCCTGGGCCACCTCACTTAGTTCCAGAGGGTGGTAAAGATCTAAAAGTGTGCCTGCTCTAACCTCCTTACTTGAAGGATTAGGAAATAGAGGATAAAGAAGATGCAATAATTTAAAATACAAATACATAATAGTGGCAGAGCTAAGGCTAACAGACCAGGTCCCCCAGACCCCAGTCTTTATCCAAAGTATCACAACACTGCCCTCCTCTCAGTCTCAGTCAACATCTTTATTTTCTGAGAATGCCCTGGACGCAATCCTTGGAACAGGCTTTCTGATGATGTCATATACTAACTGGCCTCATGTCATACCATTTCCATGTCCGTCTGTCAATGTCATGTGGATCCGGAGTCTGCAGGGTGCCGCTCCCTCACTTTCTTATGTTCCTCCCACAGTCCGGCTGTGGCTGGATCTAACCTGCATTTCTATTTGAGAGTTGGGGCCTGAACAGTCAAGAATGAAAACGATGCTGGGAAAACAGGGAAAAGTGAAAGTGAACTTAGGTCAGTAAGACCCCAGCTGGCAGCCCAATCCCACCTGGTGAAATACCAAAGTCTGATGGGAAAGTAGAAACTGGGAATCACAGCCCGGGGAGGACCGAGTAAGTCCACAAAGAGCAAACATGGTGAAAATGCCTTTCCCATGGTGAGCGCTCCGTGGTGCCAGGCAAGTGGATCTGGCACTAGAGTATCAGGGAGCAGGTTCTGGGAAACGGACCGAAAGCCTAGAGACCTGGACACCTCACAGTGCTGGAGAAAGAGAAGGAGACAGGTGCCAGAGCCAGGAAGAAGTGGCTCAGGAGTGAAGAGCTTTCTCAGACTACAGGAGGAAACACCTCTCCCTGGATGTGGGAATAGAGACTCAAGGTCTCAGCTTGTGGTCTCCCACTTAATAGTGTTTGTCCTTGGGCCAAAAAATCATCCCTCCATGCCTCCATTTTCATAATTGTGCAAAAAGGAACAAACGTGATGTGTACTTCATAAACATTCCACAAAAGTTCCAAGTGATTTTCCCTCCCCCTTAGACTTTACTGAGTTCCTGCAGGTTCATCCCCAGACTGCACTAATGCTGTGCCCACCCATTTGTCCAGCAGATGTTTATGAACCACATTTTAGACGTCGGATATGGCAGCAGGTGCTCAGGGGACGCAAGAGTGAACAAGAGAACTAAGTTCCTGCCTTTGGTATGTTCTGGAAAGAAGGCCTCTATCAGACATATAATTTGAAAATACTTTCTATCCATATGTAGCTTGTCTTCTCATTTTCTGAAACATGTTTTAAGCACAAAAGTGTTCAACTTTTCAAATCCAACTTAATCAATTTTTCTATCATACATTTAGTGCCATAGCTAACACATCTTTGCCTAATCTGTGGTCTTAAAATTTTTTTCTCATGTATTTTCTTCTAAAAGGTTTATGTTTAGCTCCTATATTTAAGTCTATAATCTATTTTAAGTTAATTTTTGTGCACATTGTGAGGTAAAGATCTAAACTCTTCTTGCTTTTATCGTGTACAAATATCAACTGAACATATTTGCCAACACAGAGGTCACCAACAGCTCGAACAAGTGCAGTCTCATTGGCTGGCTGAAATTAAACCAGACTACAGCCAAGTGAAGAGAAAGTGTGAGCCCTGGCCAATGGCTCAGTTGCTTGGAGCATCATCCTATGCACCAAAGGGTTGTGGGTTTGATCCCCGGTCAGCTCACATACCTAAGTTGTGGGTTTGATTCCTGGTCAGGGCGAATACAGGA